TGCAAGTGAATTTTCTGAACAGTACTTAATTTACCGCATGATAAGTCTGAAAAAGTTGTTCAGAGCAAAATGACTGTTTCATACTAAATTCATCTGACAATTAACGGCAAAACTGAACATGACTTAATAATTTATTGTTCAGTGTTTTCGGATGATGTTAAGATCAAAATGACTGTTTCAGACTAAAATTCGTTTACTAGTGATAACTCCTATAAAGGGTCAATTTACAAACTCTATCTATTATAGCTTCTGTAAAAAACACAAAAATGAATACACATCGTTTTTCAATGGAAATTACTCCTAGGATGGTGATTTGAGATTTTGGCTAGGTTCCTTATTTGAATATCTTATTTTGTTGATCACTATTACCGTTTCAAGATTCACTCTGGTTACTTAATTCTCTAAAAAAATACATTTAAGGGGCAATTACTCCAAAACAGGTTGTCCGATTGTTCTGAAAATTTCATGGTTGACAATTATATCCCTAGGTCAGTTTGTTTTCTCTTACTTCTTTAGTTTTTGAGATATAAACCAACAGCTTGTTTTATCCTTATGTCCTCATTTTAGCAAGAGAAGTCATGTTTGCTGATCCATCAAATTTGGGTTAGGTAAGAAAACAAAAGGAGTTGATGACAGTTTCCAGCACATTAATATGCCCAAACTTGACTTGAATATACATATCATCAAATAGCCAATGTTTATAATTCAAGGTATTATCATGCTGCTTCTAGCCGTTCTTCATTGGATCTTGTTAATTTAGATTAATAAGTAGTAATTTTGCTTCAGTTGATTTTATGGGCCGTCTTTTTTAATTTCAAAGTATTTTAATGAAAAAACTAGGTTTGTGATCCCCAGTTTTCATATCAAAATTTGAAAGTACATTGTCTTTTACAGAAATTTAAGACATATCTGTTGTGGAATATCTAGACACCCCAACTACCTTTATATTGGCTAAATGAATGAAAACCCAGCTGGATACCTTTCAGAACAGCGATCAACTCAAAGAGAGAATGAAAATTTCAGAATAAGATTAAAATAAATAAGCTATGTGAGACAACAACAAGAGGCTCTCAAGAGCCTGAATCGCTCACCTGTATTTCAGAGGAGAAGATTTTTAAATTATAGCAAACTTGATGAACAAATTGTGAAAAATTGTCTTTAAAGGGCAATAACTCCTTAAGGGGTCAATTGACAATTATGGTCATATTAACTTTTTTGAAGATCTTACTTTGCTGAACATTATTGCTGCTTACAGTTAATATATATATATATCTATAATAATATTCAAAATAATAACAAAAAACTGCAAAATTTTGTTAAAACTACCAATTCGGTGGCAGCAACCCAACAATGGGTTGTTCGATTCGTCTGAAAATTTCAGGGCAGATAGATCTTGACCAATTAAACAATTTTACCCCTGTCACATTTGCTCTAAAAGATTTAGTTTTTGAGATATAAGCCAAAAACTGCATTTGACCCTTATGTTCTATTTTTAGCCATGGCGGCCATGTTTGTCGATGGATACAAACTTCGGATACAATTTATAAAAGATACCCTAAGGAACATTTAGTTAAAGGTTGAAGGTAATTGGCCCAGTAGTTTCAGAGAAGATTTTTAAATGTTAGCAAACTTGATGAACAAATTGTGTAAAATTCTCTTTAAAGGGCAATAACTCCTTAAGGGATCAATTGACAATTATGGTCATATTAACTTTTTTGTAGATCTTACTTTGCTGAACATTATTGCTGCTTACAGTTAATATATATCTATAATAATATTCAAAATAATAACAAATAAAATGCTCCGCAGGGCGCAGCTTGATACGACCGCAGAGGTCGAACCCTGAACAGTTGGGGCAAGTATGGACACAACATTCAAGCTTGATACAGCTTTGCATTTGGATTGTGATTAAATATTTGACACAGCAACGGTTTCTGACACAGAATGAATGTGGTCTAAGAACTTAAATATTTTAAATTGGACATTCACCTATTATGGTCTAATATCCAAAATCTAAATAAATGGTTAGATTCAGCATATCAAAGAACCCCAAGAATTCAATTTTTGATGAAATCAAACAAAGTTTAATTTTGGACCCTTTTGACCTCAATGTGGACAAAGTTGATAACGGGGCCCAAAAATCAAAAATCTAAATACATGGTTAGATTCAGCATATCAAAGAACCCCATATATTCAATTTTTGTTGAAATCAAACAAAGTTTAATTTTGGACCCCGATTTGGACCAACTTGAAAACTGGGCCCATAATCAAAAATCTAAATACGTGTTTAGATTCAGAATTCAATTTTTGTTAAAATCAAACTAAGTTTTATTTTGGACCCTTTGGACCTTAATGTAGACCAATTTGAAAACGGAACCAAAAATTAAGAATCTAAATACACGGTTAGATTCGGCATATCAAAGGACCCAAATAATTCAATTTTTGATGAAATCAAACAAAGTTTAATTTTGGACCCTTTGGACCTCAATGTGGACCAATTTAAAAACGGGGCCCAAAATCCAAAATCTAAATACACGGTTAGGTTCAGAATTCAAGAATAAAACCCCATTGAAATTGGTCAAGAAATAAGCAATTTATACGAAGTATCTTCTTTTGCACAATACTGTGCAATTAAATATTTCTTGCTATTGCACAATACTGTACAATTGACAATTTCTTGCTATTGCGCAATATTGTGCTATTGGATATTTCTTGCTATTGTGCAATACTGTGCAATTGAAGATTTCTTGCTATTGCGCAATACTGTGCAATTGAAGATTTCTTGCTATTGTGCAATACTGTGCAATTGAAAATTTCTTGCTTTTGCACAATACTTATTATATAATAATTTACACATCCTGTTTGGTGTGTATCTCCTACCATATCATTATTATTTGCTTTTAAATATAAATCAGAAATAACCAACTTAAAATGGAAAATTTTAAAAGAAAAAAAAAAGGGAAAAAAAAAAATCCCCCACCAAATTCTTTTGAACCCCCTTATGATTCATCACCCCCTAACTTAATCCTCACCTTCCCTTTGTGGTATGGTACCTTGCAGTACAATTTCAGAGAGATCCATACACTTGAACACAAGTTATTGTCTGGAAACTAGAAAAATGTTGATTTTGGCCCCTTTTTAGCCCCAAATTCCTAAACGTTTAGGGCAATTACCCCCAAACTCAAACCCAGCTTTCCCTTTGTGATATGGAACCTTGTAGTACAATTTCAGAAAGATCCATACACTTACACACAAGTTATTGTCCTGAAACTAGAAAAATGCTTGTTTTTTGCCCCTTTTTGGCCCCTAATTCCTAAAATATTGAGGCAATTACCCCCATCATCAATCCCAGCCTTCCCTTTGTGGTATGGTACCTTGCAGTACAATTTCAGAGAGATCCATACACTTGAACACAAGTTATTGTCTGGAAACTAGAAAAATGCTTATTTTTAGCCCCTTTTTTGCCCCCAATTCCTAAACATTTCGGCAATTACCCCCAAACTCAATTCCAGCTTTCCCTTTATGATATGGAATCCTGTAGTACAATTTCAGAAAGATCCATACACTTACACACAAGATATTGTCATGAAACTAGAAAAATGCTTGTTTTTTGCCCCTTTTTTGGCCCCTAATTCCTAAAATTTTGAGGCAATTACCCCCAAAATCAATCCCAGCATTTCTTTTGTGATATGGAACCTTGTGGTACAATGTCAGAGATATCCATACACTAACACACAAGTTATGTCTGGAAGTTACAAAAATGCTTATTTTTGGCCCCTTAATTCCTTTACTGTTGGTACCATAACTCCCAAAATCAATCCCAACCTTCCTTTTGTGGTATTGAACCTTGTGGTAAAATTTCATAGAGATCCATTCACTTAAACTAAAGTTAGAGTGCGAAAACCAATGTGTCTTCGGACGACGCCAGACGACGACGACGACGACGACGACGCCGCCGCCGACGTCATACCAATATACGACCACAAAATTTTTTTTGCGGTCGTATAAAAACTGCAAAATTTTGTTAAAACTACCAATTCAGTGGCAGCAACCCAACAATGGGTTGTTCGATTCGTCTGAAAATTTCAGAGCTGATAGATCTTGACCAATTGAACAATTTTACCCCATGTCAGATTTGCTCTAAAAGCTTTAGTTTTTGAGATATAAGCCAAAAACTGCATTTGACCCGTATGTTCTATTTTTAGCCATGGCGGCCATGTTTGTCCATGGATCAAAACTTCGGATACATTTTATAAACTAGATACCCTAAGGAACATTTAGTTAAAGTTTGAAGGTATTTTGCCCAGTAGTTTCAGAGGAGAAGATTTTTTAAATAGTTTACGACAACAGACGACGACAACGACAGACGCCAAGTGATGGCATAAGCTCACATGGGGCCCTTACTTTAAAGCTGGTAGATGTTGCTGGCCTTTTTATGTTAATGAAAGACAACAAATACAGGTTTTCATAGACAAATATTTTATATTTTGTAAAACATATACTAAAATTGTAAAAACACACAATCTACATAAAGCATGTATAAATTCATAACAATTAATAAATAAAAGAAATAAATAATAAAATAATAAAATTCTAACAATGGTAAATTCTTAATTAGAAAGGTGAAACATGTTACAATCTTCAATATAACAAAATTTTGGTGGTGCTTAGTTCATTTTAAAACAACAACATTAACATATTAACAGATAATTTTTCTATAAATACTGACTAGATATTACAACACTCTAAACCACAAAACTACACGAATACCATTACTAAAATGTATAGAAAGGTAAATTTTGTATCATAATCTGTATAAAAATAAGTGACCAATATTGTTTAGAGGAAAAATTTCAAGGTTTAATACAAAATATGAAACAGATTTCACCATAAATCATATATTCCTTGTAATGAAATAATCATGAGTACTGGTAATGATCAAAGAAATTGTTTGTGAGGTGTATAACTCTTTGATGGAGTCTTTCCCTAACTATTTTTTTCTGTAATAAATTTAATATTTTCCCAAATTTCCAACTGTGAACACACCATGTGACATACATCTATTCAAATAAATGCATGATAATGGCTATTTTTGTATAATACATTGGTTATTTTCCTAACGTTATACAATTACTGTCTTTTGATGCGGTAAATATGTGGTTTTATTGAATTTTGAAAAACAGATATTCACAGAGGCAGACAGTCGAGGTGAATATCAGTTTTTTCAAAAGTCAATTAAACCATATATTTATCAAAACAAAAGTCAGTAATTGTTTTAATCAATATTATGAGGGAAAACAATGATCTTCAATCATTATCATGATTATACCATATTACACAGGTTAAAGCATTATGTTAGTTCCTAAATTTTCAAGAAATCATTGATGTTTAATCATATAATATCCCCTTGGGTTCTTCTCCATAAATCTGATCAACGGCATAGTAAAATCAAAGTGCTTGTGAGTGCTAAACGGTAAAGATTACTTTCATTTTGCATTTTGTGAATTTATTATAAACCATTGAATTACATTTAGCTAGGCAATTTATAGAGTTGGAGCTTTCTTCCTTTGTTCTTGATTGTACATTTGCAGTTAAACCTATTTTTATAACAGATTTATATGCTATGAAAGTTACTTATGTAATTTTTAGTAAAAAGGTAATTCTAATACACGTCATATTGTAACTTGAATATCTATGTATAGCATATTATTAATAAATTGGATGACATTGACTGGATAGGATCTAATGATTGATCACTTCACTGCACTATTTTGTTTGAACTATCAAAGGTAGTGATAAACCTTGAAAGGTATCAAGTCAGTACCATAAGAGTTTTGATTGCAAAAAATGGTATATAAAATTCTAAGTTCGATGATTTAAAACAAGTGATAAGTTTAAAGACCTTTGATTTCACAGTACATTACAGTATGATCACTGAACACCACTAAGAGTGTAACAGCTTGTGTGAACATACAATAAAGGTTTCACTGTATCAGCTGAGTATATCTTGTAAACTCATTAAAATGAAAGTTACTCCAAACAGGATGGTTATGTTTACTTCAAGCATCGATGTTCTTCCAAAAACTGTTGGGTCAAAGTTAAAGCAATTTTTCTTGCCTTCTACAAGTCTGAAATTCTGTGCTTCACAAAAAGATGTTTCGTTGAGATAGATTTCACCTGGCACAAAAAAAAAGAAAGAAAAAGCTGACAATACTACTAAAAAAGACTATGCCAATGAGCATATTTTATTCACATAAATCAATAATGTAACATACAGTTTTCCTTCAACTGGCATACCTGTTAAGTCATAAGATTACACTAATGAACTCTGTCCATCACTTTATGAATACTTGTTTTTCATCAGGTCATTAGAAAACAAGATTTTACCTGTGAAAGCTTTGTTGTTCTACAATACAATTTAAGTGTAGAGTATTATTGGCACTTTCATCATATGCTTTTATTCCAAATGCCGTTTGTGTCAATTTCTTTGTACAACACTGTATTTAGATTTAAACTGGTCAGACTAAATGGAGATGCTTTAAAGAGCAAAATATTCCACCATGTAGAGTACATCTTACTTCATCATCACTATAAAGTTGTTTTTTTTTAAATTACATTTCTTAATTTTGTGTTTGTCTATAATTTAAGCCAATCAGATGAATGAATTGAGCAATACCTTACCTATTTCATTTCCTTTGTACTGTGCCGATCTACAACTTTTATATACCATTCTACAAAAATCAGCACATATATGTACTTTGTGGTCTGTATCTCTGGAAAATAAAATAAAAACATTATTAGGTACCTTGGCTAGACCTAATGCTTCAACAACAAAAAAGAACTAAAATGGGTATAAATATATTAATATTCAGGTTATAAGGTAAAATAATCAAAACAAATAACACACTAAAACTAAATGATAGGACAACTGAAATTGACAATACTTGTATTAACAAATTCAATAAATTTTGTTTTTTTCATTAAAAGATTATTTTTTTAATTTCTCAAAAGCTTTCTATTTTGTAGGGCATAAGGAACATTTTAACCCAATATGATTACTGAAATTCATTGTGTTTAAGATACTTTTATTCAGTTGGACAAAATGACAAAAAAAAATGAAGTTTTCTTATAATTTCTACATAGAAAAAAAGTTTATTTAAATTTTTTTCATTATCTTTTTATTTAATTAAAAATATTTATAATTTTGTTAAATCTTTAAAAATTTGTCTCTTTAAGGGTAATTAATATCAATTTTTTCTAAGATACAATTTCATTGAACGATGACAGCGCTGAGTAGAGATGTAGACCACAGATAATCTCTTTATCCTTATTTTTCAAAGCAACATCAATGACATTGGCTTATGAAGTCATCTTGTTCTCGCTCTTCCTGACTGATAAAAATCATTCTCAGTTGAGTAGCTTGATAAGAAACATCATTACACAGAAAGATTAAAGGGAGATATCAGAAATAAGCGATAATTATAGATTATCAATGGTTTTTCCAACAAGAGGGTGTTTCTTAGCTATAATCTCATTAAAAGGCAATATCCCTGAGATGAGATGTGGCCAAAAAACATCCTTGAGTTTGAAAGACCAATGATAATCTGTTTATTGCCATTTTGTCTAGTATTAATACACCGTTGATGTTTACATTGACAATGGCATGTGTGACCTTATTTTCTAGCGATAATTTTCTATCTCAATAGAGTACATAGCATATGTTCATGATGTTAAATGATCACAAAAAAAAATCAAATAAAAAATACACAAAACAGCAATAATTAATAATATCATACACAGTAAGCATGAGTATACAAAACATATATAGAAAACTAATCTTAAATAAAAGATTGCAGATATACTGTGAATTCAAAAATTACTGCCTCCATTTATTATTGCCATTTTGTCATTTTAGACCAAAATGGGATTATTATTATTGCGATACTGAGAAAAATCCCCCTTCATTCATATAAAAATATCCAAAATGCAAGATTAAATTATTGTCATTACAACGCGATTACAACCCTGTTGAATTTTTCGCAATAATAAAAATGTCACAATAATTTTTGAATTTACAGTATTCATTTATGTATTTATTCTTTATTTTCAAAAGCTCTTCTTACATATCTCCAAATAAAAAAGAATGATTGATTGATTATTTGGTGTTTATTTCTACTTTCAGCATTATTGGCTTTTACCTGGCAGCCAGTTTTTATTTGTCATTAACTGAGGGAGCAGGAGTGCAGGGAAAGGACCAGCAACCTTTTGCAGGAAAACTGGCAATCCTAGTCAATTAAGATTGGAGTCAAACGCACCTGCCAACAAAGACTGACAAAAAATATATATTTGACTTACTGGTTATACCAAATTCTTTGATTTGGGTCACAGAAAAAGCACATCATATAATTAAGTTGGTTCTGACATGCCTGTGTAGCTTCGTACAAAGGAAACATTGTGGTAAAAACTGATATGACTTCTGTGGTTTTACAGCATGCCTTAGGAGCATACCAAGAACAGTTGACCAGTCCATGTGTTGGAGTTGCATACCTATCAATTTCTGAAAAAAAATTTGAATGGATAAAAATTTTACTGTAAACATGGTGAACTTGAATATTTTTTTGAAATTTCATCCCATACACTTTTCATGAAAGGGTTTTAAATTCTGGCATCAAATGATACATATTGCCACTGAAAATTGTGTGTATAACCTTGAATAGTGCATCAAATAATTCTGAACTAGTATACATTAATTTTTAGGGGCCAGCTGAAGCCTGCTCCAGGTGAGGGATTTTCTCATTGTGTTGAAGACCCATTGGTGGCCATTGGGCTGGGTTGTTGTCTCTTAGATGCATTTCCCATTTCCGTTCTCAATTTTATTGTCTGCAGTGCACGCACAAAATCTTTTTTTTATCTATAATTGAAAATATTTTGTAATGCGAGTATTTTATCTATCAAACATTGTCAAAGAAATATATATTTTAACATAAAGTAATTTCAAATGGGCATTTATCATGTTTATAGTTGATGAATATAAAATCTATAGCATCTAACTAACTTGTTTGTAATAATCAATAAAATAAAACACTCATATAATCATCATAATGATATCATTGTCCAAAATGACAATTTCGATAATCAGACAAAATTTCAAGACAATTTATTTATCAAATATTGTCCCAATATAGACAAAATATAACTTATTGATAACCTCATTTTAACCAGACAAAAATCCATTACTCATACTATGAAATATTGTCAATATACATGATATATAAACAAAATTTCATATGGAAAATTGTCCTTCTCTGGACATATTTCATAGACGGGGAAAAATATATATTGATCAATAATCATGAAATTTGTTAAGAAAGTATTATATCCCTCGGTTTCTAAAGCTCGTCAAATAAATTTGATATTTTTCTACACTGTATAATTATTGTATATGTACCAATTAAAAAAGCTTTGATGATGATGTGATTGAAATTGAACATGACTCCACAACCTATTACCAACTATTGAGCCTCCTCATGGGGTTTTTGATTATGTGATTACTTGGACACCCCCATGAGGGGCCTCACTATTGGTACAACAGATGCAACGGGTAAAACATACATACATACATATCAAAATCTGCTGTACTTCATATTGCAAAATCCATTTACACTTGTATGTAAATTTGTCACTGAAACCAAACAAGCTCCCGCAAAATATTGCATCACAATTTAAAACATTTGACTTTAAAATTTAAAAGTTATGGCTTCATGATGTCATATGCATGTTTTTAAAATGTTTATCTGTATTGTGCATGATATGACTTGTATTTATGTGCTGTGTCTATATCAGTGATTAAACCTCTCATGACCTTATCTTGTATTTACAGTCAGGGATATAACTCTATAGGGTTATTACAGGAAATAACTTGCATGTGTTATTACAGATATTTTTATGAGTTGTCTACTCTTTAAACCTAAAATTTTCTAAATCTGTAATAACATATGTTTGTTATTTGTAAAATAGATCATCAACATTTTAATTTTTAGTGGGCTCTAGGGAACTCTGGAAACTTTGCGCAGAAACTAAATGCATAGTCTTGATAACTAATTTTTGAATTAAATTAATACATTTATCATTAACCATGGTAAATCAATAAGACAAGGCTTTTAAGTGATAAACTTAGCTGTAATAACAAGGCTTAGTTATTAAAGGCATGCAACTTATTATATGAGACACTTGGGATTTACTGGGAAACTTGCGCAGAACCTCATTACATGCTCTGGTTATTATTTCTTACAATGAATTAAAATAAATTGTAATTAAGCATGACGCATGTCTGAGCAAATGCTTTGGAGTGATATAGAGAAGCTGTAATAACACCCTTTAGTTATTACAGGCCAATTTTTTCTGTAATAACATAGGTGTACTATGCATGATTGTCAAAATATGAACTGTTATATCGTTCTATAGTTAAGTATACATAAAGACAATAGCAATATCAATAGAACCTGTTTACATTTTAACAAAACTAATGATGTGTATTGTCCCTTTGAAACATGTAACATACATAAGTTATCACAGGTCTTTGATTTTTTAGTCCACAATAACAAACATATGTTATTTTTCTCTAATAACCCTATAGAGTTATATCCTTGACTGATTTATGTGCTGTGTCTATATCAGTGATTAAACCTCTCATGACCTTATCTTGTATTTATGTGCTGTGTCTATATCAGTGATTAAACCTCTCATGACCTTATCTTGTATTTATGTGCTGTGTCTATATCAGTGATTAAACCTCTCATGACCTTATCTTGTACTCCTATATACATGTATGTACGTATAGGCCACGTACCAATATCATGAGTATGGCAATGGTACAAACAGATCCTACTGAATTCGCCTTACTGGAAGTTAATCTAAATGTACGGACATTTTCTGCATTGCCTAAACACAAATTTTCCTTACAATAAAAGCTGACAGGCAAATAAATATGACTGAATGACAGCAGATAATTATATAGGATTCATGAATGAAATGCCTGGTAATCCTGGGGTCATTCGGAGAAAATGTGACATTGTGACATGAAGATATTTGCTTTGAGATCTTAATTTTTTCCGGGAAAAGCACCAATTGGAAGATCATGTATGCATGATATGGGTGTTGATGCAGGATGTAACGTCCATACTGTCACGTCGTCCATAGGATATATCATCCATACCTTGAAAAGATGTATCGGCCATAGGACAACATCTTCCATACTTTAATTGTGAAGACTCGTCGTCCATGTTTTTTTTTTCGGAAATAAATTTTATTCATAACATATTGTGATATATACATGATATACATGTAAAAGGTTGTTATAACTTCTAAACGTATTATGCTGCATTTACATTATTTGTCATGTTTTTATATGTTATATACATTTTGTACTTATACACTATATATATAAATATGCTTTATCTTATCTAATAAAATATTTATTTTATTTTCTAAAGGGATTTTTAATATCTTGCATAAAACAAACTGAAAAAATAAAACAAATAAAAATTGGTATCCAAAATACAAATGAAATAGATTAATTTCTGTCATAGTTAAAACAATAAGCTTAGTTTTGAAATATTATAAATACTAAGTAATCAGACAATTATTAATTTTAAAATTTAAGAAGATTGGTAATTGCTTAATATTATCATTTCTTTGATGAACATAAGTATTAATTATGCTTTTGTAAAGAAATTGTAAATTAAGGAAATACAAAACGAGTTCAAGAAGATACAAACATACATTGGGTAGTGAAATTCTTGTAACAATACAAGCTGTTTGAGCAATCTTTTTGAAGTACAAACCTTGCAGCATAAAAGTATGATTACCTAACAAAAATCAAATATCATATTAATCATGTTAATCCAACCAGCAGTCAGGGGTACTACTTGTACAAGTCATTTTTATTTCCTTGAAGAAGTAAATAATAATATACTCATATAAGTAAATTTGTTATTCATATTTTCTTAAGGTTTGAATAATCTCCCCTTAATTTTCTCAAGTAATTTTTTTTTTACAATCCCTAAAATTCTCAAGTTTTGGGATGTAAAAACATGCCTTAAACATTTTTTTTCTAGTTAGCTCGTAATTTATTATTAGAGTTCAACGTTTCATCTCATTAATTCAACAAAGAAACTAATTGTGCAAAGATCTTAAGTAATTGTGCAAGGCCTTCAAAAATTGCCACTTGGAGGCTTGTAAATGAGCAGTGTTTTGAAGATAACAGACAAATGAGATTTTCATTGTTCATGAAATTACACTTAAATGACAAGTAAAGACATCTGCAAAGGACAGACGATTAAAAATTCTATTAGAGCAAAGAAGTCCTGAAAAATTCAAGAAAAGTAGATAGTATGACTTTTTTACTTGTAAAAGTAAAAATATCTGAATGTCTAAGGGACATAACTAAGCCATTCAAATAAATTACCTATACAAGTAAATAAAATACACTTGTATAGGTGTAATACATATAGGTGTAATAATCATTGTACGTTACATCCGGTTGCATACGAAAAAGGGTCGAAAAAAAGTACATGTATTCCCTTGTATTTGACAGTTGTAGGAAATTAATCCTACATTTTAATGCAGTAAAAAATTTCTGAGTCATAAAGATATATCTTGGGTGTTTCAAAGCACCATTCTTTTTTTATTTGGTGTTTCTAAAGAATATTTTTGAAACTGGAGGTTACATGGTTACTAAAGCTTGTACACCATGTACACAGCGAAAAAAGGGGTGAAAATTTGATTGGTTATCTTCCAGTGATGGTTAACTTATTATCTTTAATGCAATGAAATGTTATGTGAAATTTTTATTGTAGCACTGGACAGGATAACCTTTACTCCTGCCAAGTATTTCTTTATTTGAAACAAAGATATTAAAATTCTGCACAATATTTTGAAAAGTGCAAATTTAACAAAGACTAATAGGGGAAAGACAATGGTGGTACATGTATTACATCTATAAGTATCTTACAAATTTACTTCTATAAGTATATTAATATTTACTTCTTCAGGTAAATAAAAATAACTTGTACAAGCAGTACCCCCAACTGATCAGTTGGTGTGTGTCTATGTTTATATGCATGTACATGTTATGATAAATCTCATGTTAATCCATGAATTAGTTAATCATGTTAATGTGATTGCCAATTTTCAAACACATACACAATAATTAAAGTGAACATGGTGAAGTTTATATAGATCAATCTAATAATATCTAAATATGATTTTTTCACATTTTGTTTAGTTTGTGGTGCATTTACAACTATTATTTTATGTTTCACAACTTTTATACATATGTTTTTGTTGTTCAGGCTCCAGTAGTAATAGAAGCACCCCATCACCTCCACCAGCACCAGCTTTTATAACTACATGTTTGAGTATTTCTAGTTCTTTATGATATAGGTTATATCAGAGACATATAAAACAATTGTATTATATGTCTCTGGTTATATGGGTGAGTGTGTATATATAAATTTGTGAATATTTGGTGAAATGTTAAGCCTTCCAATTGATATTTTATAGTGTGTCTTTCTATGTTGTGATGTTATACTATTGTTTCAGAAAAGGGAGAAGGTTTAATTTGGTACCCTTAAAACATTTAATCCCGCTGCAAATGTTTGCACCTGTCCTAAGTCAGGAATCTGATGTACAGTAGTTGTCGTCTGTTTATGTAGTTCATACGTGTTTCTCGTTTCTCGTTTTTATATAGATTAGACCGTTGGTTTTCCTGTTTGAATGGTTTTACACAAGTAATTTTTGGGGCCCTTTATAGCTTGCTGTTCGGTGTGAGCCAATGCTCTGTGTTGAAGGCTGAACCTTGACCTATAATGGTTTACTTTTATAAATTGTTACTTGGATGGAGAGTTGTCTCATTGGCACTCATACCACATCTTCCTATATCTATGTTGTGGAATATATGAATGAGAGACATGAGCTTATGTGTGAACAAATATTAAATGGTTAATTGAAAACAATGTATATACATGCAAGATGTATGTTCATTGTTTTCTAGTGTACTTGATTATCTGCATGCCTGAACAAATAAATAAAATATATTTACATGTATGTTTTTTGTATGTTGTATGTATGGTGTTAGCTGCATGGTGTATACCAGTGGTGTATACACTGTATAATTATGTTTTATGTTGTTTGTTGTATATTTGTTTTTTATGTATGACTTAATGAATAAATTTAAAATACAAAACAAAAATATTATCTTTATTTTCGTTATCCTTGTCTCATGGGTTTTCCTGCTATTTAGAATGCATTGTGACGTCACAATTTCCTTTGAAAAAGCATGCATAGTACAAATTCATATGACGTTTGAAAACATATGATCTGACCATATATATAGTAAAATGTTTTGAGGTGATTTGGTATGATTGCTGATGATACAATTATCCATAAAACAAATGCACAAAAGATGTGAACCGGCAGACTTGTACATAATTAATACTACAAAATCATATTTATGTTTTATTACTATGAAATAATAATAAGTGTTATATTAAGGGGACGAAGTCCCCTATTACAGTAGAAAAATCATTAAAAAAAAAAAAAAAAAAAAAAAAAATCGGGAAAATTTTCATTCTACTAATGAACTCAAAATCATTAACTCTTTTTTTGTAATTTTTTTTAATTCCCACATTTGCGCAGAAATCTACTTCTTCTTCCGGTCTCGTGTGTCATGAGACTTTGAGTGAAATATATATATCAGTCCAGTCAAATATATAGGAAGGGACACAATAACAATTTCATTTCTAATTATTCTTTGATATGAAAAAACGTTACCTGATGATAGCGTTTCTTTGTTTACATCGAATATGACGTCATAAGTAAAATAACGTCACAACTAAAATCCCTAACAACAGAACCAAAATCGGAAACGTTACGGTATTTCCGTTTCTTTTTTAACAGATTTTGAAGATAAAATATGTTTGAATTAAAAAAAATAATTCTTCATCCCCTTTCACAGGTAACGCCTGCCTCATATTATCATTTTATGTAATAACCACAATGGAATAAATACTTAAAGTATGGACGATACATCTTTACAAGGTATGGACGATAGGTCCTATGGATGATGTGGCGGTATGGTCAACACATTCTATGGAGGATGTCATTATAAAAGAATGGGTGTGATGTCAAACTTGAAAATCAATATCTATAATTTGTAAACTTTGGTCTTATACATTATTTACCAAAATAAGTGCATTGCTGTTGTGGTTTTTGTTCAAACACCTGATATTCTACTTCAATTTGTGTGGACACAATCACTGAGTAAGAGAAAAGTATCATGTAAACAACAGAATGCATGTTTTTTCTCATCACTGGGAATCCAGCAGCTGCATCATTGAACGCATCGATCTTTTGTAAGGTAAATCTAGAAGTTTCCGAAAACCGGATGTGGGGAAAAGAAAATGGCAGCCTCCACGAAATCGAAGTGGAAAAGATTGAAAGAAAGTTTATCGCCAAAGTTGTACATGAAATATGCGTTTCATCCAGAATATTGCTTACCTGCAATGATTTTACTTATTGTTGCTGAAATTTTTGTCAACTTTGTTGTAATCCAGAAAATAAAATGTACGAATATGCCTCGGTACACCTTACTAAGGCTTACTCTCTGACTGTCCTTACTAATATACAAATCCTTGGTACACCACAGTTAAGTCTGTCTTACTTTAGGGGACCCTGTACTTGTTTTGGAGGAGTACATGACATCTCGTACCTTTGTAAACTCGTACTTAACCAACTCGTACTTTTAACAACTCTTACTTTTTCCGACTCATACTTTTGCCAACTCATACGAGTCATAGTCATACTGACAATGACTTCTACCACCTCGCACCAATTTTTGTTGATTTGTTAATATGTATCATTTTAAAAATAGATAAGTACAATTTAATAAAATTCAAAGTTAGTTTTGTATTTTATATTGTAATTGATATTGTCCGATATACATTCAACACATTTTACTGAAGTTAAAATTTCAAACTTTAAAGCCATTTTTTTTCTTTTCAGTACAATGATTTTGTGCATTTTTTGGACCTAAAAGCTTGAGTAAATCCTTGGCCGCAATCTAGGATCCAAATTGTTCTGTAACCTCCTTCTTCTCTGGATCTTTACACCCTTTATAGGGTAACCATACTTTTGTATGTCGAACAGTTCCACCATCAAAAATATACAACATAATGAAAATAAAAAATCACAACAAAAGACATTATATACACCATTTACATTGGGAAGTTAAAGTTTTTATGACTTTTTACATCAGGTATAATGTTGAAAAGTTGGCAATGATGATATTGAATCCCTAAAGACCAACACTTTCTGGATCATCACGGCTGGCGGCCAAAGTGAATTGTGTTAAAAACTTCAGAATGATTGAAAATTTGTCAAATAATGACGTTACAACACAAATAATGCATTCTTAAGGAGTCATTAAGTCGTCATTTAAATGTGATGTGCCAAAAAGAAGTTATTTTTTATTAATTGTATTATCATCAGTCAGGGAAATTACTGAAATAAGTGATTTAAAAATCACTTATTTAACTTGTTTAAGTAGCGAATTCAGAATTTTGTCACAAATTGTGATTTTGTAGTTTTGCCAAAATTTTAAACATATAAAATCAAATCAAATCAAATAATTTTATTGGTGTAAATTCCAATACAGGAATGATACCAGCTGACATTTACAAAATACAAATACAAAAACAGACAAAAATAAACAAAAAACAAATATACCATAAAATTGAGAATGGAAATGGGGAATGTGTCAAAGAGACAACAACCCGACCATAGAACAGACAACAGCAGAAGGTCACCAACAGGTCTTCAATGCAGCGAGAAATTCCCTCACCCGGAGGCGTCCTTCAGCTGGCCCCTAAACAAATATATATACTAGTTCAGTGATAATGAACGCCATACTAAACTCCAAATTGTACACAAGAAACTAAAATTAAAAATAATACAAGACTAACAAAGGCTAGAGGCTCCTGACTTGGGACAGGCGCAAAAATGCGGCGGGGTTTAACATGTTTATGAGATCTCAACCCTCCCCCTATACCTCTAGCCAATGTAGAAAAGTAAACGCATAACAATACGCACATTAAAATTCAGTTCAAGAGAAGTCCGAGTCTGATGTCAGAAGATATAACCAAAGAAAATAAACAAAATGACAATAATACATAAATAACAACAGACTACTAGCAGTTAACTGACATGCCAGCTCCAGACTTCAATTAAACTGATTGAAAGATTATGTCTTCATCATATGAATATCAGGCACAATCCTTCCCGTTAGGGGTTTAGTATCATACCATCATAACATATATGAGAAGAACATAACCCGTGTCATGCCAACAACTGGTTTTTAAATAAATGTGTTTAGTGCCGATGCAAAGACCCTATAAGTGAATCAATGTTAACGCCAAAATATGCAATCTTTAATGACCTGACAACAGTATCGTAACTATATCCCTTCTTAATAAGTCTATTTAAAGGTTTTGTTAGCTTCAGAGGTGAATACTGACATTTTTGTGCTTTATAAAGAATATTTCCATAAAAAATTGGATGTGAAATACCTGAACGTGTAAGAAGTCTGCATGTTGAGCTATATTTACGAATGATGTCCTTATACCGATGATAAAATTTAGTAAATGTTTTGACTAGTTTGTGATATCGAAAACCCTGGTGTAATAATTTTTAAGTAATACATAAATTTCTCTCGTGTATAAATTTTTCATGTATACAGAGATATGTTTTCTCAATGATAAGAGACACATATTTTATATATTTTATATCTACATTGCGTGGAGGTGTTATTCCATATAGGTTTAGATTATATCTTATTATTAGTAAAGTTGGAAAACATGAACCTTTTTCTTCTTTCAAATAGCAAGGTTTATGCCTTTTTAGCTCACCTGGCCCGAAGGGCCAAGTGAGCTTTTCTCATCACTTGGCGTTTGTCGTCCGTCGTCCGTCGTCATTAACTTTTGCAAAAATCTTCTCCTCTGAAACTACTTGGCCAAATTTAACCAAACTTGGCCACAATCATCATTGGGGTATGTAGTTTTAAAAATGTGTCCGGTGACCCGGCCGACCAACCAACCAATACGGGCCAAATTTAACCAAACTTGGCCACAATCATCATTGGGGTATGTAGTTTTAAAAATGTGTCCGGTGAACCGGCCAACCAACCAACCAAGATAGCCGCCATGGCTAAAAATAGAACATAGGGGTAAAATGTAGATTTTGGCTTATATCTCTGAAACAAAAGCATTTAGAGCAAATCTGACGGGGAAAAATTGTTTATCAGGTCAAGATCTATCTGCCCTGAAATTTTCAGATGAATCGGACAACCCGTTGTTGGGTTGCTGCCCCTGAATTGGTAATTATAGAAATTTTGCCGATTTTGGTTATTATCTTGAATATTATTATAGATAGAGATAAACTGTAAACAGCAATAATGTTCAGCAAAGTAAGATCTGCAAATAAGTCAACTTGACCAAAATGGTCAGTTGACCCCTTAAGGAGTTATTGCCCTTTATAGTCAATTTTTAACCATTTTTCGTAAATTTTTGTTATCTTTTACAAAATCTTCTCCTCTGAAACTACGAAGACAAATTTAACCAAACTTGTCCACAATCATTATTAGGGTATCTAGTTTAAAAATGTGTCCGATTACCCCGCCCGTGAACCAAGATGGCCGACATGGCCTAAAAAATAGTACATAGAGTAAAATGCAGTTTTTGGCTCATATCTCTGAAACCAAAGCATCTAGAGCAAATCTGACGAGTATAAAATTGTTCATTAGGTCAAGATCTATCTGCCCTGAAATTTTCAGACCTATCAGGCAACAAGTTGTTGGGTTGCTGCCCCTGAATTGGTCATTTTAAGAAAATTTTGCAGCTTTTGGTTATTATCTTGAATATTATTATAGATAGAGATAAACTGTAAACGACAATAATGTACAGCAAAGTAAGATCTACAAATAAGTCAACATGATCAAAATTGTCAATTGTCCCCTTAAGGAGTTATTGCCCTTTATAGTCAATTTTTTACAATTTTCATAAATTTTGTAAATTTTTGTAAATTTTTACATAATATTTTCCACTGTTACTACTGGGCCAAGTTCATTATAGATAGAGATAATAGTAAGGAGCAAGAATGTTCAGTAAAGTAAGATCTACAAACACATAACCATCACCCAAACACAATTTTGTCATGAATCCATCTGTGTCCTTTGTTTGATATGCGCATAGACCAAGGTGAGCGACACAGGCTCTTAGAGCCTCTAGTTACAGATGCAATCATTTAGCTGTAAATTCTATATTTGTTGAAAAATGCTATAATGAAGGCTTTACATAATGAACTGATACTTTCTTCACAGATTTTTCCCAGCAGTGGGAGTAATTTTCCTATAAACAGTCAGGGGACTTACTTAAATGAGTGATTTTCTAAATCACTGATTCAAGTAACATTATGTCCATAAAGGTTGGAAGTAAGAGTTGTCTTTCTTTAATAATCACCTATTTAAGTAGTACAAATTAATCACTAGACTAAGTGATTTAATTTTATTGTAGCTTTAAATATAGAATACTAATGATCCAGGGACTAATTATGTTGCTAAAATTATCAGAACCAACATCTGTGTTGATAGGATGATCGGGTCATGTCAGGTGATGATGACCTTGTACTAAATCTAGGATTATGACATAAAAATCACTTTTTCAAGTATCATACCTCAATTTCCTTCCAAAAAATCACTTCTTTAAGTATCATTATTTTAATAACCCCCACTAATTTCATCACCCCCGAACAGTGAAATTTTGATGGCGAACAGTAGAATTTTATTACATAATCTATAAGATGAAACCTTGAATTTTATAGGAAAAATACTCCCACTGCTGGGAAAAATCTTTTAAGAAAGTATCAGTTCATTGTGTAAAGCCATTTTTATAGCATTTTTTCAACTAAAATAGAATTTGCAGCTAAATGATTGCATCAAAGGCATAAAACCTTGCTGCTTAAAAGAAGCAAAAAGTTTTTTTTTTTAATTTTACTAATGAAAAGATATATTATCTAAACCTATGTGTTTAAAATTTTGGAAAAACTACAAATCACAATTTGTGACAAAACTTCGAATTTGCTACTTAAATAAGTGATCTAAAAATCACTTATTTCAATAAGTCCCCTGACTGATAAAATTCAAGGTTTCATCTTCCAGATTATGTAATAAAATTTTACTGTTCGCGATCAAAATTTCACTGTTCTGGAGAGGGGGGGGGTTTGAAATTAGTGGCAGTAATCAAAATAATAATACTTAAAAGAAGTGATTTTTTTGGAAGAAAATAGAGGTATGATACTTGTCATTATCCCAGATTCAGTACAAGGTCATCACCTGACATGACCGGTCATCCTATCAACACAGATGTTGGTTCTGATAATTTTAGCAACATAATTAGTCCCTGGCTCATTAGTATTAAATCACTTAGTCTAGTGATTTATTTGTATTACTTACATGTAAATAGGTGATTATTAAAGAAAGACAACTCTTACTTCCAACATTTGTGGACAAAATGTTACTTGAATCAGTGATTTAAAAATCACTCATTTAAGTAAGTCCCCTGACTGATCATAACTATTTCTTTGTGAAATTTGTAGTAATCTGGCCTGTTTAAAAAAAAACTCAAATCGTAGGACCAATTTGAACCCTTCGCGAACCTACTCCTTTGTCATGTTTGTTAACTTATCATTTTATCATGTTTTGGCATAAACACATATATATATATATTATACACGTTATATCATGTTTATGTCATACATGTACACATGTAGCTATTTTTATCGATAAAGAAATGATTTGATACTTGTACTAATAACTGTTTTTTTAGTTACAGAAATTGATTTGGTACTCATATATACGATTACTATATATTTATAGAAACAGAATTTGAATGGATATAATTTTTATTTGTATAGATACAGAAATTGATTGGACAGCCTATATGCAGGAAGTGGAAGGAGTTGTTAATGGAACATATGATTATTTGAAACTGAAAGGAGACACAGGCCCTTTAGTGTATGTATACTAGTAACTGAAGGTTAGAAGTTGTGAAGTACTTAATGTTAAGGGCATACGATACAGTTTCAAGGGAGTTAACTATTGGCGCGACGTTAAAGCGTTCGAATTCCCGCAAAACGTCACTTTCGGCAGGACGTCATGCATGTAATTTTCTGTTATTAAAAAAGCCACTTGAACGGTATTTATTATTAAAACGATGCTCCAACTTATGTTTCTTACACACGTTAACTTCTACGCCTTTAAGGTTAGTGCTTTTGATTCTATCATTTTGATATATAAAATCATAAGAAATTAAACACTTATTACTGTTTCTGCTGTTCCTCGTCTTGAAGCTTCTGTTGGGTCTTGAACAACGAGGTCAATAAAATATCGTATAGTGAACAATCTTAAGACTAGTGAGCAATCTTAAGACGACTGATCCTTTTGGTGGTAACATAATGCATGCCAATTAACATTTATTCCTGATTGAATTTTGATTTGGATCCGATTTTCTGATAGCGCACAAAAAATAGTTTTACGGCGCATTTTAGTAACAAGCAAAGTCTATATCAATTTGTGTCACATTTCATGTCGAAAGTTCAGATAGCGCAGAACTCCATAATTTTCCTCACGGAACATTTTATTCCATTAATTCATGCCAAATATGAGAGGACGCAATAATAATGGTATGCCGCAATTATTAGCGATAATACAACTTTAAAAATAATATATAGTAATTTATTAACAAAACTACGCTATAATGAAATTAATCGAAATTTTTATAAAATAAAAGAACAGAAGGCAATTTTCCATATGATTAATATTTCCAAGGGCGTAACTCATTTAAAAATAATTGATCGTCACTGATTTTCGAACTCGTCAAAGACATTGCTGATATAAACCTATGATATAAGTTTCATGAAATTCTGGCGAGAATTGTACACATGAGAGCGCTAATATTGACATTTTCCATATAATCAATATTTCCAAGGGGCATAACTCTTTTAAAAATAATTGATTGGAACTGATTTTCGAAGTTGTCCAAGACATTGCTGATATAAACCTATGATATAAATTTCGTGAAATTCTGGCAAGAATTGTACACATGTGAGCGCTAATATTGCCATTTTCCATATGATCAATATTTCCAAGGAGCATAACTCTTTTAAAAATAAATTGATTGGCACTGATTTTCGAAATTGTCCAAGACATTGCTGATATAAACTTGTGATATAAGTTTCATAAAAATCTGGCATGAATTGTACACACGAGAGCGCTAGCGATACAAATTTCCATATAATTAATGTTTCTAAGGGACATAACGCTTTTAAAAGACGGACAGACGGACGGACGCCCGGTATTTCTATGTCCCCCGCAACGCGTTGCGCTGGGGAAAAAACATGAAATACTGGTTATTACGAGGAGAATGTATGCCAATATAATAGTACAAAACCAAAAGAGGTAGGGCCAGTTTTCCATAAATTTATTACACACTGATAGCCTTTTTTTAAAGGTCTTTAAATCTGTTAAAAAATCATCACAGCTATACTTTGAGGTTTCTACAACATTATATGGTATTTCTGAACATTTATTAACCAGTGAGATTATAAATGCGAAAACGTGACTTGCTTTTAATTGTTATGTCGGATGGTATATGTTGGATATTTGGGAAATGAAAAAAAGGACACAAAAACCAAAACCAAAGTTATGAGGGATGCATGTATAGGTAACATGTCCCGTTTTTCAGATATAAATTGAATCATTTTTGCCAGATCAAAAATTATGAAATATTTCAAAATTATTGTAAAGTTTTCTTGAACTGTATTCATTCACCCGAATAACAGTTTGATTTTATGAATAAATGTGAAATTATAAACGCTATTAAAATGTGAATAAAAGGATGTTTTGGGGATATGTCAATGAAACAGCAGCCCACCAACCAAAGCAAAAAACATCTAAAGGTCAATATATGGTCTTCAACAATTCACGAGTGTGTACAGTTCCGACATGCCTACCTCTAAATTGCCGCGAGTCTTTAAATTAAGCCGTAAAAAAAATTCAACAGTCTGCAATAACTATACCTGAGATGTTTCTCACTTGGAACATGAACAGAATAAAAGAGAGGGGTATTTATGATACACATTTTTTTTATTTCCAAAACAATATTATTATTTTAAGGTAGCTCTTTATAAGCAATGTATAAACACTTGAAAGATGTCTCCGAAAACCTTTCAGTGATAAATGGTGGAAGACGTCGAAATTGTCAGCCAGCACCGTCATGCATTTTCGCGCTAACGTTGAGGTTACCAAGGGGGACGCAAGTTTTAAAATAAATCGCGATTTACCTTCGAATCCAGCACGGTAACATATATATTTTATTTGCTATTTGGAGAAAGTAAGACAAAATACAGTTAATCTAGAAAAATGAGAAAAATGACATTATAAGAACCTCTCGATTTCGACATTTTCAGGTAAAAAAATATCTTACTTTGAGCATCTTAACCGTAATTTTAAGCATGGCTTGAATAATTAACTAGTCATTCTTGACAGGATTTTTTCCCTTATTTTCACTTCTCACAGCTTCAGATTGAATCCAATCTTATCAATTTATGACGAAGAATATCTACTCCAAAATTTTTATAACTTTGCTCAACTTTTTTTACTAAAGTGCAAAAATCCCCAATTTTCAGCCTCAATTTTCTGGAAAACAAGCACAGTGACCTATATTATATTTGGTGATATCTTTTATAACTCTTCCAGGGCTACAACATATTTCAAAATTATAAAAATGACAATATATCGTGAAACTGTATCGGATGCCCTTAAACAGTTTAGATAACAAAATTCAAACATGCATATCATACAAGCAAGTTCAAAACCACATATTTTATCATTAATATTATTATGTAGGAATGAAAACAACCTTGAGTAGAACCTGACTAAACTAAATAAAACCCTCTCTGAATATAATAATAAGACTTACTGTGGAACTAAGTAATCAGGACAGTAGAACCTGACTAAACTAAACCAAACCCTCTCTGAATATAATAATAATACTTACTGTGGAACTAAGTAATCAGGACAGTAGAACCTGACTAAACTAAACCAAACCCTCTCTGAATATAATAATAATACTTACTGTGGAACTCAGTAATCAGGACAGTAGAACCTGACAAAACTAAACCAAATCCTCTCTGTATATAATAGTAATACTTACTGTGGAACTGCATGTAAGTAATCAGGACAGTAGAACCTGAGTAAACTAAACCAAACCCTCTCTGAATATAATAATAATACTTACTGTGGAACTAAATAATCAGGACAGTAGAACCTGACTAAACCAAACCAAATCCTCTCTAAATATAATAATGATACTTACTGTGGAACTCAGTAATCAGGGCAGAAGAACCTGACAAAACCAAACCAAACACTCTCTGAATATAATAATAATACTTATTGTAGAAATAAGTAATCAGGACAGTAGAACCTGACAAAACCAAACTCTCTCTGAATATAATAATAATACTTACTGTGGAACTAAGTAATCAGGACAGTAGAACCTGACAAAACCAAACCCTCTCTGAATGTGATAATAATACTGATTGTGGAACTAAGTAATCAGGACAGTAGAACCTAAGTAAACCAAACCAAACCCTCTCTGACTATAATAATAATACTTTCTGTGGATCTAAGTAATCAGGACAGTAGAACCTGACTACACTAAACCAAACCCTCTCTGAATATAATAATAATACTTACTGTGGAACTAAGTAATCAGGACAGTAGAACCTGACTAAACTAAACCAAACCCTCTCTGAATATAATAATAATACTTACTGTGGAACTCAGTAATCAGGACAGTAGAACCTGACAAAACTAAACCAAATCCTCTTTGTATATAATAATAATACTTACTGTGGAACTGCATGTAAGTAATCAGGACAGTAGAACCTGAGTAAACTAAACCAAACCCTCTCTGAATATAATAATAATACTTACTGTGGAACTAAATAATCAGGACAGTAGAACCTGACTAAACCAAACCAAACCCTCTCTGAATATAATAATAATACTTACTGTGGAACTAAGTAATCAGGACAGTAGAACCTGACAAAACCAAACCAAACCCTCTCTGAATATAATAATAATACTTACTGTGGAACTAAGTAATCAGGACAGTAGAACCTAAGTAAACCAAACCAAACCCTCTCTAACTATAATAATAATACTTACTGTGGAACTAAGTAATCAGGACAGTAGAACCTGACTAAACTTAACCAAACCCTCTCTGAATATAATAATAATACTTACTGTAGAACTAAGTAATCAGGACAGTAGAACCTAAGTAAACCAAACCAAACCCTCTCTGACTATAATAATAACACTTACTGTGGAACTAAGTAATGAGGACAGTAGAACCTGACTAAACTAAACCAAACCCTCTCTGAATATAATAATAATACTTACTGTGGAACTAAGTATTCAGGACAGTAGAACCTGACTAAACTAAACCAAATCCTCTCTGAATATAATAATAATACTTACTGTGGAACTGCATGTTCGTAATCAGGACAGTAGAACCTGAGTAAACTAAACCAAACCCTCTCTGAATATAATAATAATACTTATTGTGGAACTAAGTCATCAGGACAGTAGAACCTGACTAAACTAAACCAAATCCTCTCTGAATATAATAATGATACTTACTGTGGAACTCAGTAATCAGGGCAGTAGAACCTGACAAAACCAAACCAAACCCTCTCTGAATATAATAATAATACTTATTGTAGAACTAAGTAATCAGGACAGTAGAACATGACAAAACCAAACCGAACCCTCTCTGAATATAATAATAATGCTTATTGTAGAACTAAGTAATCAGGACAGTAGAACCTGACAAAACCAAACTCTCTCTGAATATAATAATAATACTTACTGTGGAACTAAGTAATCAGTACAGTAGAACCTGATTAAACTAAACCAAACCCTCTCTGACTATAATAATAATACCTACTGTG